TTAAAAAATTAAAAGTTAATCTCAGAGCAGTGAAATGGCTTTTCTATATATGACCCAGAGTCATAAAGGAAAAGATGAATAAGTCTGGCCAAAACACAAATTCAAAAAATTTTCGTGATAAAACCACCCAAAATAAAGCTAAAGACAAATAACAAATGGAAAAATATTTGCAACTAATATGACAGACAAGGAGTTAATTTCCTTAATATGTAGAGCTCTCTACTCGAATCAAGAAAAGTATGAGATTAACAATGTAATAGAGAAAGGGACAGAGGATATAGGAAGGCAGTGTACATAGAAGTCTATTACTTTTTTCTTTAAAGATTTATTTATTTATGTGAAAGGCAGAGTTACAGAGGCAGAGGCAGATAGGAAGAGAAAGAGAGAGGTCTTCCATCCACAAATGGCCACAAAAGCCACAGCTGGGCCAATCTGAAGCCAGGTCTTTTCTCAGGTCTCCCACTTGGGTGCAGGGCCCAAGCGGTTTAGCCATCATCCACTGCTTTCCCAGGCATATTAGTAGGGAGCTGGCTCAGAAATGAAGCAACTGAGATTCAAACTGGCGCCCATATGGGATGCCGGCACTGCAGGTGGAGGCTTTACTCGCTATGCCACAGCACGGCCCTGGCTCGGTGACTCTTTAAGATTCCTTTAAAAAATTTTGGGGGGCAGATGTTGTGGCACAATGGGGATGCCTGCATCCCATATCTGCTTGAGTCTCACCTCTGCTTCTGATCCAGCTTCTGGTCAATGCATCACGGGAAGCAGCACATGATGACTCATGTACTTGGGTTCCGCTTACCCACACGGGAGACCTCGATGAAATCCCTGGCTGCTGGCTTTGGCCTGGCCCAGCCCTGGCTGTTGCAGGCATTTGGGGAGTGAAGCAGTGGATGGAAGATCTCTGTCTTTCCCTCTCTTTTCTTTTCAAAGAAATAGATCTTAAGAAAAACATTTTAAATTTAGAGCAAGTGAGCGAGTGTTGCTGTTGATTTCTTCTGAGAGGATTCATTCTGAGAGGAGGAGCATGGTGGGGGCAAGAGGCGCAGAGTCACCACACAGACCCTGGAGTTGGGTGAAAGCGGGCCTGAGGGGAGCAGCCCTCAGACTCCTTTATTCCAGTTGGTACAACAGCTTATACAGCCAAGATAGCCAATCTGGTCAAGGGGCGGTTTATGCCCTAACCAATCACAGCCTGTTGCCAGGCAGGCTCCGTTTGCCATGTGGTTTCCAAAGCCATCCAATCACAGCCTGTTGCCAGGCAATTTCTGTTGTCAGCGGCCATCTTGGCATGACCTTTTCATCTCCTCATTCCACCACAAGCCAGTGAGCTCCCATCTGCCAGTTAACTCTCCAGATGCCTACAATGCTTGGGGCTGAGTTAGGGCCAGAGCCAGAAACAGGGAATTCAATCCAGGTTTCTCACGTTGGTGACAGGAGCTCAACCACTTGAGCCATCACTGCTGGCTCCTAGAGGCTGCTCTCAGGAAGCTGGAGTGAGGAGCTGGAGCTGGGCATTGACCTCAGGCACTCAAATGTGGAACAAGGATAGGCTTAACTGCTAGGTCAAATGTCCTACCCAGGAATCTTAAACATATGAGAAGAAAATGCTCAATTTTATTCATGATAGAAAGAAATTAAAATACTAATACAATGCCATTTTAAACATGTTATATTGAAAGGATAGAAAAATATTCTGAAATACAACCACAATGGAGGGCAATTTGGTAGAATTTTTTTTTTAATATTTCTTTATTTATTTGAAAGGTAGAGTTACAGAGAGGCAGAGGAAGAGAGAAAGACAGAGAGGTCTTCCATCCGCTGGTTCACTCCCCAATTGGCTGCAATGGCTGGAGTTTAGTTGATCTGAAGCCAGGAGTTAGGAGCTTCTTCTGGGTCTCCCATGTGGGTACAGGGGCAAAAGGACTTGGGCCATCTTCTACTGCTTTCCCAGGCCATAGCAGAGAGCTGGATCAGAACTGGAGCAGTCAGGACTGGAACCAGCGCCCATATGGGATGCCAGCACTGCAGGCAGTGGCTTTACCCACTATGCCACAGCACTGGCCCCAGTAGTATTTTTTAAAATTACAAATGCAAAGCTTTTCAGCCCAGCAAATCTAGAATTTGACTTCATTTGAGTGAATATGAATTAACTAAGTACTATGGTATCATTATAACTTCAAGAGGTAGGAAACAATTTAACTGTTCATTAGTAAAGAACTAGTTAGTAAATTGAGGCACAGGGGCTAGCATTGTGGCACAGTGGGTAAAGCCTCCGCCTGAAGTGCCAGCATCCCATATGGGTGCTGGTTTACATCCTGCCTGCTCCACTTCCTATCCAGCTCCCTACTGGTGGAATGGGAAAAGCAGCAGAAGATGGCCCGAGTGCTTGGGCCCCTGCCACCCACATGGGAGACTGGAATGAATCTCCTGGCTCCTGGCTTGTAGCTCTCTCTCGCTTGCTCGCTCTCTCTCTCTCTCCTGCCCCCACACCAGTTAAATCTTTTAAAAATGAATAAATAAATTGAGGTACATTATTATAATGAAATTTACGTGTTTTTAGGATATACTTTGAGTGTCTTCCGAGGCTTCATGTTTTGAAGTTTAAGTCCTATTGGGAGGAACTAGGAGGGAGGAAACTTATTTTAACCATGGTGTTTTTGAAATGGGAGTCTCTGGGAAGTGATTAGGATTAAATACAGTCATTAGAGTGCAGCCCCCATGACCAAATTCTGGTGGCTTTATAAGAAGAAGGAAAGAGACCAGACACACATATACACTCACAGTCTTGGTCTCACCACGGGATGCCCTCTGCTACCCCATATTGCACCAAGAAAGGGCCATCATCAGATGATGGCTAGAACTTGTACCTCCAGAAATGTGAGACAAAACAGACCTCTTTTCTTTCTTATATTTATTTATTTGAAAGGCAGAGTTACAGAGTAGGGGTGGGGGTGGATCTTTCAGCTGCTGGTTTACTTCCCAAATGTTTTCAATGGCCAGAGCCAGACCAGGCCAATGGCAGGAGACTGGAACTCCATCCCAATCTCCCATGAGAGTGGCAGGGGCCCATGTACTTGGGCCATCATTCACTGCTTTCCCAGGTGTGTTAGCAGGGAGCTGGATTGGAAGTGGAGCAGCTGGGATTCAAACCAGTGCTCTTATGGAATGCTGCTATGCCACAATGCTGGTCCCACCTCTTTTCTTTTTAAAGTAGTGTGGTGCAAGTATTTGGTTACAATAATGAAAAGTGGAGTACTCTATGCATCTATAAAATAGATTCAGGAAATGTGGGGTGTGTGTGTGTGTGAGAGAGAGAGAGAGGTTTTCATTACTGTAACTGTAAAATACCCAAGAAAAAGTTTTTAGGAAGGATGGTGGTTTATTTCAGTTTACAATTTAGAAGCTCACATTCCTAGATAAGGTATTTTCATTAGTCTGGTGTCTGGCCCAGCCCTAGCTGCTGTGGCCATTTTGGGAGTGAATCAGCGGATGGAATATATCTTTGGCTCTCCCTCTCTCTCTGTCACTCTGCCTTTCAAATAAATAAATAATCTTTTTAAACTTTTTAAGTTAGAATGACACCTTTTCCTGAGTTGGTGAAGGAAAGAGGTCCGTCTATCCAATGTCTGCCTTCTGAATTTGCCTAATGCCTTTTGCTTTTCTTTAGCTTCACTTGATTGGATCCAAGTTAAACATTTTTCGTGATAACACACCATACTTGATGTATACTCTGCTGGCATTCCAACAGAAAACACATAACAATTAATGCTAAGATTTACCACTGCCATAGGGTAGTTAGATGTTAATAACTTTTTTATGCAGCTAACTTTTCCCTTAAAACCAGAAAGTAATCTTTGTGGTACTTAACCTGATTAGCGCTTAGTTTTCTTATCTAAAATACGAATAAAGAGTTGTTGAATGGATTAAGTAAATTAATGTATTTAAAACACCCAGGAGAATGTAAGCATTTAAATGAAGTAGCATTTATTATTTTGGTTGCAACTACATCATCAGAGAATGTAGGGCAGAAGAACAGAAAGTTCCTCCCCTTGAGTTCTCAACTCTTATTTCCCTTTGCTAAGAGGGAGGCAGGTCATTTTGTCATCAACAGCCCAGGCTGAAAGTTTGTCCTTGGGGCTACAACAGATTACATCTTTAGAGAATGTACTTCCATCATTTTTTCTATTTAATAGCTACCACTTGTGGAAGGTTTAGTACATACAAACATTTCACTAAACACTTTACAAGCGTGTTCATATTTCATTCTTCCATCTGCTTACACGAGTAAGAATTATTACCCATACTCTTCAGATGAGAAAACTGAGGCTCAGAAAGACCAACTTGCCCAAGCAGCACAGCTAGTAAGCAAGCCGACGGGACTTAAAACCCGGATACTTGCAGTTGATACTGCAGGGTAGCGGGTAAAACCGCCGCCTGCAGTGCCTGCATCCCATATGGACACAAGTTTGAATCCCGGCTGCTCTTCTTCCGCTCCAGCTCTCTGCTATGGCCTGGGAAAGCAGTGGAAGATGGCCCAAGTCCTTGGGCCCCTGCATCCAGGGAAGAAGCTCCTGGATCCTGGCTTCTGATTGGCCCAGCTCCAGCAGAGTGAGCCAGCAGATGGAAGACCCCTCTCTCTGTCTCTCCCTCCGTCTGTAACTTTGCCTCTCAAATAGATAAATAATAAGATTTATTAAAAAATAAAAAACTGGGTATTCTACTATATTCCCTGGGCTTAAAGGGACTCAAACACTGTAAGTAAAGCGGTTTGCACTTGGCCTTATTGCTTTAAGAAATTATCATTTCTCACTTGTCACCTCCTCGATAAGCATTCTGTGTCTTTAAAGTTGAACTTATCCCTTACCTGTTTCATTTTTCTCCCTTAGTACTTTGGTCCATCTAACCTAATACATATCGCTTTTATTATGTCTTATCCAATAAAGTATCAATTTCATGAATACAAGGATTTTTGTCTGCTTTGTTCACTGTTTTTTCAGCATTTATAGTGGCTCCTGTCACACAGCAGAAGCTAATTAGGTAGCCGCCCAACGAAAAGAATCACGTATTTCCGGAAGTATCAAGAGTCAGAATTAAATGGGCGAGTTTTGAGCCTCGTAGGGTCCCGTAGCACCCGCCATTTCCGCCTACCAATAGGTGACGGAGAGAAAGAGAAGCCCCGCCTCTCACTCGGCTGCAGCCCGCGAGGACTTCTGAAGCGGTTGCGGCTGTTTCGTATTTCCGAGGCGTCGGCGCTCGTTGTGTGCGTCATTTCCGGGCGGCGGGGCGGAACGGAGTGGCCAACGGCCTGCAGAGCAACATGCCCAAGTGAGTGGGGTCTGAAATTTGAGGGTGGTCGCGGTGGATGCTGGTGGCCTTGTGGGAGAGCGGAGCTCGTGTCCTGATTCTTGAAAGCCTCGGGGGTAGAGCGGATCTGGGAGCGGGGAGGGGAGTAGGGGCCGGAGCTCTGGATAGCGTTTTTAGGGTGGCGGTCGACCCGCTTAAGACAACAACAAATCTCTGCTTTCTCTCTGGACGCTTTGTTTGACACCTCCGAGGCCTCAGTAGGTCGGGGTGCGTTTCTTTTGTTTGTTTTTTACTCTTAGTTAATGGCGCTTCTGCGGGTGACTGCTTGTCATCTATCTTCCACCTCTTTTCAGGTTTTACTGTGACTACTGCGATACGTACCTCACCCATGATTCCGTAAGTATCGTGTCTTTTCGTAGTTTGAAAACGTCGTATGTGCAATAATTAAATCATATTTTTTGTAGATTGCGAGTTTGAGTCTGCCGAGGTTTTAAGGCCTACTGCTTGGAGAAAATAATTGGAGATGTTTTATTCCGCCCCCTCCATCTTGGGACGATATTCATAAGTTGAGGACATTTGCAAGAGTTAGTTTTCCAGCAGTCAGTATATTTTCATTGGAGACCCAAAATAATAAAGCTTTAGCAGGTTTGAAGATAAAAAAAAATTAAAAATTCCTGGAGAGTGTCCATAAAGATAAAATATTTGGCTCTGTCAGGTTACTCAAATGTTTGATTAAAATGAAAAGAAATGCCTTGACTCGAGCCAGAGTACTTTGCCTGAAAACTAGCAGATGACTGCAGCAGTTAAGAGTGAGTGGTTTTTTTTCTTTTTTTTTTGTGAGGCACTGTTGCAGATATTTTCCAGGTATCACTTAACGCTCATATAATCCTGTGAGGGAGGAAGCTGAGGTAGAGGATGGCTAAAAACTACTGGTGTCACAAAGCCAGAGAATTGTACAGAGCTGGAAGGTGAGTCCAGGCAGTCTAATTCCAAAGCTAATGATTCTAGAAGGTAGCAGACATTTTGGTTCCAGGGCCCCTTTACAGTCTTAAAAATTACTGGGTTAAATTAAGAAAAAAAATTTATTATTTTAAAGACAGATCAACAGAGAGAGAGATCTTTCACCTGCTGATTCCCTGTCCAAGTAGCTGCAACAGCCGGGGCTGGGCTGAGCTGAAGCCATGAGCTTGGAGCTCCATCTGGGTCTCACATCTGGGTGGCAGGGCCCAAGCACTTGGGCCATCTTCCACTGATTCCCCAGGTGTATTAGCAGGGAGCTGGATGGGAAGCAGAGCAGGTGAGACTGGAACCAGTGCTAAAACAGGAAGCTGATGTTGCTGCAGCAGCTTTATCTGTGCTGCAGCATCAGCCTTTAATAGTCTTTAGATAATCGTAGGTGTCCTTCAGTACTTTTAGATTACTGCACTAAAACTCCGTACATGGTCAGTGGCAGTGTGCAGCCTTAAACTGTGTCAAACTTTTCATGCTGTTTCAGTGAAATTCAGTAATCTGTGTTGCTCTTTAAAGGACGTTTAACAGTGTGTGATTCTGAAACATACATTGGTCATTTGGAAAATATTGTTTCACTATGTCATACAGGTCTTCCAGTACATTTATATAGTATTAAAAATTCACATTCATTAGTGCTACAATCCAATTAGAACTAAGTACTGAGCAATTGCCAAACTTATGGTGGCAGATTTTCTAAAATTGCAATTTTTGCTTCAAAGTTCAAATTTTATTATTGGTAACAAATACAATCAGTTGCTTTCCTTGATGTGACAGGCTCACTTCATCCATTTGTGAGAAGTCCAAGTACTTGTATGTCTGGATTTTAAAAATGTTTTGTGTCAAAATAAATACAGCTTTTTATGGGTATGTAAAGTGGTTAAGATGTTGGTCAGGACACACATCCCGTATCAGAGTGCCTGGGTTTAAGTCCTGGCTCTGCTTCCAATTTCTGCTTTCTGCTACGGTACACCCTGAGAAGCCTAAGGGAGTGGCCCAGGTATTTGGGTCTCTGACACCCACATGGGATACCCAGGTTAAGGTACCAGCTCCTTGTTTTGGCTTGGCCCAGTCCTGGTTGTTTAGGGCATTTGGGGAGTGAAACAGTGGTTGGAAGTTCTCTTGTTTGCTCTCTTTGCCTTTCAAATAAATAAAATAACTTTTAAAATTAAAAAATAAATCTTTTAATTCCATCTTCCATGAGCTTTTTAGAGTACCCTTAAATAGTTTGTTTCTTAATCATTCTTTCAAATAAAAGTGGTGTTCCATCAAAGAGGTAGCCACCTTTGATGGTAAAGCTCACAACTTGAAAAGCATGCCTGATTTTCTTTTTTTTTTTAATTAAAAAAATTTTTTTAATTTTTATTTTTTTGACAGGCAGAGTGGACAGTGAGAGAGAGAGGAAGGTCTTCCTTTGCCGTTGGTTTACCCTCCAATGGCCACTGCGGCCGGCGCACCGCTCTGATCTGAAGCCAGGAACCAGGTGCTTTTCCTGGTCTCCCATGGGGTGCAGGGCCCAAGCCCTTGGGCCATCCTCCACTGCACTCCTGGGCCATAGCAGAGAGCTGGCCTGGAAGAGGGGCAACCGGGGCAGAACCTGGCACCCTGACCTGGACTAGAACCCAGGGTGCTGGCACCGCAGGCGGAGGATTAGCCTATTGAGCCGCGGCACAGGCTTTTTTTTTCTTTTTTCTTTTTTTGTCACTAACCCCCTCTAGGTAAAACTCCTAGTCATAATTTTCTGAAATTCTTAGTGAGGGAGCTATGTCTTTCTATTTTTGAGGTGTTTTGTTTATATATATATGTGTGTGTGTGTGTGTATATATACACACATATATATATAAATAATAAACAAATTTTATTTGTGAGAGGAAATGAGACAGATGCAGAGAGCTCCATTTACTTCACTCTAAATACCTTTTGGCTGAGTGAGGCCAAAGCTGGGAACTCAAGCAGATCTCCCAGATGGGTAGCAGGGATCCAACTACTTGAGTCATCACCTGCTACTTCCAGGGTATACACATTAGCAAGAAGCTGGAATTGGGAGTGGAGCTGGGACTTGAACCCAGGCACTGCACCTGCATCGCAGCTGGCAGTTTAGTTGCTAGGTCAAATGCAGCCCTTTGGTATTATATTTTCATGTACTGACATCTTGGTAATGCCAGATGTCAGATAATTGAAAACTATTTTTATAATAAGTGTCTCTTTATGGGAAGTGTCAGAAAACTTGTTAATATTGTTTTAAAATTGGGGCCGGTGTTTTGGTGTAGTATGTTAAGCTTCTGCTTGTGGCACCAGCATCCCACATGAATACCAGTTCATATACTGGTTGCTCCTTTTCTAATCAAGCTCTCTGCTTATGGCCTGGGAAAGCAGTGGAAGATGGCTCAACTGGTTGGGCCCCTGCACCTGCGTGGGGGACCCGAAAGAAACTCCTGGCTCCTGGCGTTGGATTGGCTCAGCTACGGCCATTGGGACCATTTGGGGAGTGAACCAGCAGATGGAAGACTTTTCTCTCTGTCTCTCCCTCTCTCTCTTTAATAACTCTACCTCTCAAATAAATAAAATCTTTAAAAAATATTTTTTCTAAAATGGTTTCTTGAAAAAACAGAAAATTTCCATAGTGATTGTAGCAGTTCCGTTTAGTGGACTTTGAAATTTATAAAAACATTTAGTAGTGATGCTGTGTTGTATAGTGGGTTAAGCCACCTCATTTGAGGCCTAGCTGCTCTGCTTCTGATCCAGCTCCCTGCTAATGTGCCTGGGAAAGCAGTGGAAATGGCTCAAATGCTTGAGCATTGCCACCTACCTGGGAGGCTTTGATAAGTGTTTGAACACTTGGCCTAGCCCCAGCCATTGCAGCCGTTTGGGTAATGAACCAGCAGATGGAAGAACTCTGTCTCTCCCTCTCTATTGATCTGCCTGCTTGCCTATCTTTTTTTTTTTTTTTCTAAGATTCATTTATTTATTTGAAAGAGTTACAGAGAAAGAGGTAGAGACAAAGATCTTCCATCTGCTGGTTCATTCCCTAAATGGCTGAAACAGTCAGAGCTGGGCCGGTCCAGAGCCAGGAGCTTCATCTGTGTCTCCCATGTGGGTGGAGGGGCTCAAGCACTTGGGCCATCTTCTACTGCTTTACCAGACACGTTAGCAGAGAGCTGGATTGGAAGTGGAAGAGCTGGAACTCGAACCCATGTCTGTATGATATGCTGGTGTTGTAGGTGGCTGCTTAACCTGCCATGTCAGAACACTCGCCCCAGTCTGCCTTTCTAATGAAAAAAAAAAGAAAAAAAGAAAAGAAAAGAAAAGAAAAGAAACAGGGAAAACTTTTAGTACAGTAATTTTTGGATTTTGATTGGTACTTAGGCATGATTTTGTTATCTCTTTTTGTCTTAAAGTATCGTTGTATTTGTGTAAGTGGTTTGGGAAACAGGGAGTAATATTTTGGATTTTTATTTATTTGAAAGAGAGATCGTTCATCTGCTGGTTTATTCCCCAGAATGTCTGGAATAGCCAGGAGCCTGGAACTCATTCTGCTTCACTGGCAGGGACCCAAGTACTGGTTGCTTCTCAGGGTTTGCATTAGCAGGAAGCTGGACCAGAAGCAGAAGCAGGACTCAAATCTAGGCACTCTGATAGGGGATGTGAGTGTTCAAAGTGGCATCTTTTTTTTTTTTTTTTTTTTTGACAGGCAGAGTTAGACCGTGAAAGAGAGACAGAGAGAAAGGTCTTCTTTTTTTCCGTTGGTTCGCCCCACAAATGGCCGCTATGGCTGGCGCGCTGTGCCAATCAGGAGCCAGGTGCTTCCTCCTGGTCTCCCATGTGGGTGCAGGGCCCAAGGACCTGGGCCATCCTCCACTGCCTTCCCGGGCCACAGCAGAGAGCTGGACTGAAAGAGGACAGAATCTGGTGCCCCAACCTGGACTAGAACCTGGAGTACCGGTGCCGCAGGTGGAGGATTAGCCTAGTGAGAGCCCTGGTGCCGGCCCAAAGTGGCATCTTAATTACTGTGCCAGGAACCTGTCCTTGAGCAGTATTTTGAAATATAGACTGTGAGAAGACCCTATCTGATTGATTGACGGTAGTCAGAGCTACTGCTGTTGAGTCAGTCATGTGAGGAGTGGGTTGCCTGTAATTTGTAGTTCTGGCAGCAATGAGGGGCATCTGGTAGCATTTGAGTTCCTGGCCTTGGTTACTGCATATGAGCTACCTGTTTTTTAAAAGTTTTTATTTTAAAACAATTTTTGAGAGGCAAACAGACAAAAGACACAGATACACAGGGACAGACAGCTAAATGGCAGCACCAGCTGTGTGTTTTCAGAGAATGCTTTAAACATAAATAGAAGATAATTACTTTGTGATTTTTCCACCAATTTTATTGAATTATAATTTATAGTCAATTAAATGCAGATTTTAAGCCAGCAATTTGATGATTTGTCAGATGATTGCACCTTGGTGTGTTTCTCAAGATTTAGAATGTTATCATTCTAGGTGGGCGCCGCTGCTCAATAGGCTAATCCTCCACCTGTGGCGCCAGCACACTGGGTTCTAGTCCTGGTCGGGGTGCTGGATTCTGTTCCGGTTGCTCCTCTTCCAGGCCAGCTCTCTGCTGTGGCCTGGGAGTGCAGTGGAGGATGGCCCAAGTCTTTGGGCCCTGCACCCGCATGGGAGACCAGGAGAAGCACCTGGCTCCTGCCATTGGATCAGTGCGGTGCGCCGGCCGCAGCAGCCATTGGGGGTGAACCAATGGCAAAAGGAAAACCTTTCTCTCTGTCTCTCTCTCTCCCTGTCCACTCTGCCTGTCGAAAAGACTACAAAGACCACTAGACGAAGAAAAAAGAATGTTATCATTCTAGAAAATTCCCTTGTATCTCTTTGCAGTTAGTCTCCTTGTGTCTGTGGCCTTAATTGATCAGGTTTTTATTAATAAATGAGTACTGCTGGTTTTAAATCTTTCCATAAGGAGAATCTTACAGTGGAAGTATAGACTCTTAGAAAAAGAAAAGAAAAAAAAGGAAATGAAATATAGACTGTTTGTGTGTCTCACCTCTTTTCTTAGCACATGTTTGAGATTCATCCATTAGAGTCCCTGGGTTTGAGTCCTGGCTCTGTTTCTGATCCAGCTTCCTGCTAATGCATACTGTGGGAGGCAGCAGGTATTGACTAAGTGCTTGGGTCTCTGCCACCCTCATGGGAGATCTAAAATGAATTCTGGCCTCTTGGCTTTGGCCTGGCCAAGTCCCAGCTGTTGTAGTCATTTGGTGAGTGAAACAATGGATGAAAGATACCTGTCTGCCTTTCAAATAGATTGTTTTTTCAAAAAAAGTTAAAAATGCACTTATTGTATGTCAATTATATATTAATAAAGCTATTGAGCAAAAGGACTAGTAGGCTAGAGACAGGGCTGTGGGTGATTTGTTCTAGGATCATAGTTCTTTGAAAGAACATTTTCTCATGGAGTTTTAAAAAGTATGTAAATGATATTATTTGGCCTTGGAATAACCTCTGAAAGGGCATTGAAATGATACTAATTTCTAAAGATACTAATGTTCTAAATTATGGGTTTGCAAACTTTTTCTTGAAGTAACAAATTGTGATTATTTCAAGTTTGTGGACATAGAGAACACAGTCTTTGGTGGAATTACTGAACTCTGCCATGGTACAGAGAAAATATATATATGTACACACATCTATATTGTCGCTCCCCGTCTTCGTGGAGGAACGACACAGGACCCTGCGCTGTTCTTTCGTCTGCTCGGCCCTCCCCGGGTTTGCTGCTGGTTCTTCCCGGGTTGGCTACCGTCCCTTCCACCTCCGTGGAAGGGCGGTTCCCCCTGCTGCTTTTCCCCACTTCCGCGGGGGAGCGGCACACCGCCGGCCGGCTCTCTCGGGGGCTGCACAGGTGTTCCCCTTAGATGTTCCTGGTGCATGCCGTCTCTCTCCTCCTTTATAGTCCTCCTCTGCCAATCCTAACTCGGCTGCCCACACGCCGAGTACGCTGCTCTCCTCCAATCAGGAGCAGGATCAGCTCCTGGAGGTCAGCACTCAAGTTGGCAAGAGGCAGCTGCGTAGAAGCTGTTTTCTTCTCTCCCAGCGCCATATTGTGGGAGAGCAGATGCATAGAATAAGTCTTAATTCCAGTAACTTAGTCTAGTCCGAGTTGCTCCCCACATATATATGTGTGTGTGTGTGTGTGTGTGTGTGTGTGTGTGTGTGTGTGTGTAAACGAATGTCTCTTTGTTCTCTCTATATATTTATATATTTTTTATAAAAATAGCTGACTGGCTTACAGGCCATAGTTTGCTGACCCCTGGTGTTGATAATATAGTAGATGAATTACTACAGTGTCTTACTGGATGGTGTTTATGAGTGATGCTGCAGCAGCCAGATAAAGCTACTGAAGCTGGCCAGACTATTTATATAAGAGTAAGGCTTTATAAACTTTATAGTATTTGAAACTTGTTCCTGTTTCTGATATGACCTTTGTGTTTTGCAGCCATCTGTGAGAAAGACGCACTGCAGTGGTAGGAAGCACAAAGAGAATGTGAAAGACTACTATCAGAAATGGATGGAAGAGCAGGCTCAGAGCCTGATCGACAAAACAAGTATGTTTCAGTCTCTTGTTGTGGTAGCATGATCTCATTCTTTCTTATCCCTGTCTGTGTTGGTTTTCACAAAAGCAGCTCATTCTGAATGATAAATAGGGCATCTGGCCATATTGAATGGAAGAAGTGCAAGGTCATTGGTTTCCCAGGGATATTGGGACACATTAATATTAATTATTGAGAATAAAGCAATCAGGTGTTGGTTGGACTGGGAGGGGAGGTAGAGAATAGAGTTGCCTAGTACTTTTCTTTTGACATGGGCTGGACTTTTTAGCACGTTTATATAAGACCTCCTTTGTAGTAATGCATGGTTTTTAGAAGTATTTTCCTGTTTTAATAGGAAAAGGTAAAGGGTGGGTTGGAATCATTTGAAAGGTTTCATTTGGATTGCTTTTTTGAAATCCTGACAGAGAACTAGTCAAACAGACTAACTGATAATAGTATGGTTATATTTTGGAGGCTTCATGTTTATGTCATGCCCATTTTGAAAATTAGTAACGTTTTTGTTCCAGCTGGTTGGGTTGAAGACACTGATAAAAGGAGATGTTGCAGTTTTACTTTATAGATAGTGCTGGTGTATTTGAAACACAGTTTTTTTTTTTTTTTTTTTTAAAGATTAATTAATTTATTTGAAAGAGTTAAAGAGAGGGAGAGACAGATCATCCATCTGCTGGTTCACTCCCCAGATGACCTCCATAGACAGGGCTCAGCCAGACCAAAGCCAGGAGCCAGGAGGTTTATCTGGGTTTTCCATGTTGAGTGGCAGAAGCCCAAACGTGTGGGCTATCTTTGCTGCTTTTCACAGACCATCAGCAGGGAGCTGGACTGGTAGTAAAGCAGCAGGGAAGCAAACCAGTGCCCATACAGGATGCCGGCGTTGACCTAACCTGCTTTGCCACCACACTGACCCCAGCATAGGCTTTCTGATTCATTGTATTCAGAGCTGGTAGGCAAATGTGGACTGAGTGAATTTGGGGGGAAAATGATTTGTTCAAGGGACAGAAAGAGAGGCAAAGAGAGCAGACAGATAGGCAGGTAGAGCTCTCATCCACTGGTTCACCCCTCAGATGGCAACAATGGCTGAAGCTGGGCCAGGCCAAGCCAGGAGCTGGGAACTCACTGTCTAGGTCCCCAACATGGGTGGCAGGGATCCAACCACTTGAACTGTTACCTACTGCTTCCCAGGGTCTGCATTGAAATTGGGAGCTAGATTCGATCATGGGGGAAAGTGAGTGCCTTTTTGATTAGACAAGTCCTTATTTGGGGCTGTTGCTGTGGCACAGTGGGTTAATGCCCTGGCCTACAGCACTTATGGTCACCAGTTCGAGTCCTGGCTGCTCCACTTCCGATCCAGCTCGCTGCTATTGTGCCTGGAGACGCAGTGGAAGATGGCCCAGGTGCTTGGACCTCCACACTCACCTGGGAGACTCTGAAAAAGCTCCTGGTTCCTAGGTTCGGATTGGCTCAGCTCTTGCCGTTGTGGCCATCTGGGGAGTGAACCAGTGGATGGAAGACCTTTATTTCTCTGTAACTCTTTCATGTAAATAAATCTTAGAAAAGAAGAAAAGAAAGGTCCTTATTTGGATATGATCTCTGATAGAACACACAGGCTTTATTCAGAAGCATATGGATAACTGTTTATACATCTGCATTTTATGGCATCATTTTGGATTTAATCTCTGTGAATTATCTGTGATTGACCTGAGTGATTTGACCTCCTTTGCACTTTTGGGATTGGAATAGGGTAATAGGGTAGGCTGCAGAGAACATTGAATTGGGAAGGGCTTACTTCAGTAGACTTTGTAACTATACATTTTAACATTTATTTGTGATTCTAAAGCCATATAGAGATGATCCTCTGTTTCTTTTATTTTCACTGTGCTGCATATTGTCTGAAAGAATTAAAAGTTGATTGCATTATATTTTTTCTGAGTGCGATGTGATGTTAATCTTCAGGACAGGAGTCTCCTAGTTAGTGCATCAGTTGCAGAACTGGAAAACCAGAATGATTTCCTTGTTTTGACCTAGGACAGCATAAATAGGAGAGAGGTAGAAATGTGATAAGTCTGGTCTTTGGGCATGCATTGCAAATTTTTCAAACAAAACTGTGAACATCTTCAATTAGTTATAAACTACATTTAAAGATTAAAGGTGGGCTGGTTCTATGGCGTAGTAGGCTAATAAGCCTCTGCCTGTGACGCCAGCATTCCATATGGGCATTGGTTCATGTCTTGACTGCTCCTCTTCTGATCCAGCTCTCTGCTAATGGCCTAGGAAAGTAGTGGGGCCAAGTCCTTGGGCCCCTGCACCCATAAGGAAGACGTGGAAGGAGCTCCTGGCTCCTGGCTTTGGATTGGCCTGAGCTTGGCTGTTGTAGCCATTTGGGGAGGGAACCAGTGAAAGGAAGACCTTTCTCTTTGTCTCTCCCTCTCTCTGTAACTTCTCCAAAACAAAACAAAACAAAAACCTGCTTCCACTTGGTAAAGGATGTTGATAAGTAGGAAATTTTCACTTGAATCTCACATAATTGTTTTAGCCATAGAAATAAATACTAAGTAAAAATAGCTTTGAAAACCTACATCAGGGGCCTGCACTGGGGCATAGCTGGAGCGGCACTGGCGTCCCATATGGGTGCCTGTTTGAGCCCTGGTTGCTCCACTTCCATTCCCACTCTGTGCTGATATGCCTGAGGAAGCAGTGGAAGATGACCCAGGTGCTTGGGGCCCTGCACCCTCATGGAAGACCTGGAGGAAGCCACTGGCTCCTGGCTTCAGGTAGGCCCAGCTCTGGCTGTTGTGGCTATTTGGGGAGTGAACCAATGAATGGAAAATCTCTCTCTCTGTGTCTCTTTCTTCCTCTTTCTGTAACTCTGCCGTTAAATTCAAATAAACGAGCCGGCGCCGTGGCTCAATAGGCTAATCCTCCACCTTGCGGCGCCGGCACACTGGGTTCTAGTCCCGGTCGGGGCGCCGGATTCTGTCCCGGTTGCCCCTCTTCCAGGCCAGCTCTCTGCTATGGCCAGGGAGTGCAGTGGAGGATGGCCCAGGTGCTTGGGCCCTGCACCCCATGGGAGACCAGGAAAAGCACCTGGCTCCTGGCTCCTGCCAGGATCAGCGCGGTGCGCCGGCTGCAGCGGCGGCCATTGGAGGGTGAACCAACGGCAAAGGAAGACCTTTCTCTCTGTCTCTCTCTCTCTCTCTCACTGTCCACTCTGCCTGTAAAAAAAAAAAAAAAAATTCAAATAAACAATTTTTTTTTTGATAAATTACTTTTTTTAAAAAAAGGTTTTGTTTATTTGAGAGGTAGAGTTACTACAAAAAGAGGAAGAGACAGAGAGAAAGTTCTTCCATCAGCTGGTTCACTCATCAAATGGCCAAAACAGCCGAGCTCAGGCTGATCCAAAGCCAGGAGTCAGAGCTTCTTCTGGGTCTCCCCTGTGGGTGCAGGGGCCCAAGGACTTAGGCCATCTTCTACTGCTTTCATGGGCCATAGCAGAGAGCTGGATTGGGGGAGGAGCAGCTGGGACACAAACTGGTACCCATATGGGATGCCAGTGCCACAGGTGGAGGCTTAGCCTACTGTGCCACAATGCCGGCCCTTAAATAAACAAATCTTTAAAAACAAAAAAAGAAAAAGAAATTTAATTATCTTTGGGAAAAAAACCTGAAAGCCTAAATCAGTAAGCCAATTAATTGCGATTTTATTTATTTACTTAAAGATTTATTTATTTATTTGAAAAGAGAATTACAGAGAAAGAAGGAGAGATAGGTATCTTTCATCTCTTGGTTCACTCCCCAAATGTCCACAGTGGCTGGGGCTGGTCTTGGCTGAAACTAAGAGCCAGGAACTCCATCTAGGTATCCTACATGGGTACAGGGACCCAAGTACTTGGCCCATCTGCCACTGTTTTCCCAGGCGCATTAGCAGGGAGCTAGTGGAGCAGCCAGGACTCCAGCTGGTTCCCATATGGATGCTGACATTGCAGGCAGAGGCCTATCCTGCTGCACTACAACACCAGCCCCTTGATTGCAGTTTTAACTGATGAATATCTTAAATTTATTTTAAAAAGCCATAATGTAATAACTTTAGATTACTTGCTAAAGTAAAGTAATTGGAATTATTTAAGATTTAACAAGAAGTGGTTATTTTAGTAAATGGGTTGTTGAGTGTGTTTTCATTGTTGTTTTTTCCTTCTCCAAAGCGGCTGCATTTCAACAAGGAAAGATACCGCCTACTCCATTCTCTGCTCCTCCTCCTGCAGGAGCGATGATCCCACCTCCCCCCAGTCTCCGTAAGTAAAGTTTTTATTGGAAGAGGTGTGACTGGGCAAATTCTCCTTTGATTGGCAGATCATCTCACAGTTGTCTATCAAATGCTTGGTGAATGAACATACAGTGATAGAAAACAATTTTAGTGGTATAACTTTTTAAATAGTTAACTTTTGATTGCATTGTTACTAAGATAATGTATTTGTGACATCCCAAGTATGGGTCTGAGACAAATTCAGATGGAAGGCTCAGAATGAACCTGTGATTAGATGAGCTGGTACATGAACAGGTGTTGTTGAACATGTTAAATTATTTTTGATAAACTCCTCACTCCTCCCTATTTTCTAACCCATCTGATGTCAATGTGTATACTGTATGAAACTAAGAATTAGGTAGTTGAAAGTGGAGTCCTTCAGGGGCTTCCTCAACTCAAGGAAGGTTTGTGGTTTATGCATGTCGGACAGGAGTTTGAGTACTAAGGCATAAGTTCCTTGGCTCTCCTGGGATAGTTCAGATTGGAGACACCTAAACTCAGTCTTGTAAGTAATCGTGGATATACAGATAGAGAAGTAGGCTGTCGGTAATCAGTAACACAGATGGATCACTAATGACCCCTTCTAGGATCCTGCCATCCTGTGACCTGGTTAGGCCTTGGTATACAACAACTCCTAAGTTACTTCTGTGTCCTACTCCACCATGACTGACTCGTCTCCATTATTTTTTATAGCAAAATTGTCTGTTTTTTGAGTATTTGATTGTATGCCTCACCATTTTCTTACTTTAAATATTAAAGTTGTTCCAAATTTTTGCAATTATAAATGGTACTGTCAGAGTTTCTCTGTAATACCAAAAAATATTTAAACCTTTTTGTCAAGAGCTCTATAGATAAATCCATCTTCCTTATTTTCCAGCTAAATTATCTTAAATTTAGTTTTTTTTTAACCTGGGGAGCCTGACTTCATTTTATACTTCTATTTAGGCAGGCTTGTTCTTGCTTTTCAGTCACAAAGTAACTGAGGTTTTCCTGCATGTGATTTCTGTGGGTCTACTGTAACAAAAGGAAACATAAGAGGTCCACTGTTTTAGAATTTGAACAAGGTCAAGAGATCACATTGGTGTCATTAGGAAGAGAAAATTATCATATAAGAAACTTTAACCACGGGCTCCATTCTGTGTTTCAGCGGGTCCTCCTCGCCCTGGTATGATGCCTGCACCCCATATGGGAGGCCCTCCCATGATGCCAATGATGGGCCCTCCTCCTCCTGGGATGATGCCAGTGGGACCTGGTGAGTTTGAATGGCTTTGTTTCTAGGATGCAGCATTGTGCTTTAGTTTTCCAGTTAAATGGATTTCTTAACTAACCATCTAAATGTAACAAATCAAATTTTGATCAGTCTTTAATGACAAAGGAAAAATACTTGGTTTATCAGTGTAATTGGATGGTATCCAATGAACTTGTGCTACTAAAAGCAAGATGTGATGTGGCTGCCTTGTTTTTCTTTTTTCCCCCCTCCCACCTGTTTCCTTGCCTTATCCTGACTTTGGGCCATTTATAATAAAGAGAGTGGTGGATGAACTTGTTCCACTTGGGGTGGGGTGGGAGAAAGAGTAGAGATATTTTCTAGGTTTTGATTTGGAACAGAAATGCTTCCTGTTGCTGATTTAATCTTGCAGGTTGACTAATCCAAATCAGTATAAACTAGGTGTTGGGCTTGGTGATTGGTTTTTGATTGAGGAAAAAGAAAATTCTTATACTTATACTTCAGACATTTTATTTTAATGTAAGCATAAATATTCATGGATTTGTAAGTCTTTCTGATAAATGGGTAGGACCTTCATTGTGAGAATGATTCTGCTGCTTGGGACATCATGTATTTCTTGCATAAACCATAACCATAATGCATCCTTTACCCACTTTAATTTTTTTTTTTGAGGTGGTTAGGGGTCTTGTGATGCAGACTAGTTCCAATCTTTTATGGTCATTTTGTCTACTAAATTTGTGAGCATTTTGAGGGAATGATTTGCCCGAGTATTCCCAAGTATCAAGTTTTCATAGTTTACAATTCTCTTTTTACATCCTATTAGCTTAACAGAAGAATAAATTTATGTAATGAGAGTAATAAAGACCACTGACTTAATGTGGTTTAGGACCAGATGTGTCTGATGCCTACAATTCAACTGGAAAGACAATGTGCAAAATGTTAGAGTAGCTTCGTAGCCAGAAGTGTTCAGTGAAGCGTTGAGAAGGATGGGAATGAGAAGCTAAAGAGAATACCTGCCTTCCTGGCCTGTGAGCCCAGAACACAGTCAGAGTGGTTTAGATGCCTTTGGCATTCTTAAATCCAGGGAACAAATTCAAATTTCTTGGAGGAATTAGTAGGGGTTGAATGGGGAATGCATGACACATCTAAAGAAGGGTTCTGGAACTCGGCTTTAGCCCGTGTTTGACATTTGAGAGCAGACTTGGTGTTGCTGATTGTGTTTAAGTTTTTCTGTTCAGCCTGCATAAAATAAGATTGTAGGATTTGTGTTAAAAATAATTGTGTAGTTGGGGGAGGGGTTGGGTAGGATAGGAAAGGACGGGGAGTACAGATATGAAACATTGGCTGTGGGTGGGTGATTATTGAACCTGGATAATGGATACATGGATGTTCATTAGACTCTGGTTTACCGTTTTTTTTTCTAAGTTTGAACCTTTCCATAATAAAGAGTTAAAAAAAAGTAATTTCGATTTCCATATGAAACTCCAAAGTCAGCAACTGATTCAAATTTGTTCTAGAAACCAAAGAAAACATGATTTTAGGCACCCAGTTTTTAATATTTGGTTTAAATCTGTTCCTCTAATAAATACTTGAATATAGGTGTGTAAAGCATAGGCCTCTATGTGATATTTTAGAAATTTAGTACTTTTCTCTGTTCCTTTTGAAATTGATCTTAAAAAAATAATCTTTGTATAGCTTTGCGTTTCACTTTTGGTGATAAGGCTGTATTCATCTTTGAGTATAGTTTTCAACCATTTCCTGCAAATGATTATAAATAATTAGGTGAAATTTGGTATTTAACAAAGTATATGTAGGATGAAAATTGCAGCATAATAATGAAGCGAATGTCTGTGAACCCACCACCCTGCTGAAAAAGTAGAGCTTTGTCCGTCCCACGGAAGCTTCCTGTGCTCCTCCTCTACCCTGCCGCTTGTCTTTTCCTCCCTGGCTTGTCAATTTGGTTGGTTTATTGATGGAACACTTTAAAAAAATTCATTAATAGTTTCTAAAATGCATTAGGAAAGTCAAAGTTTTGTGTGTGTTAATTGTTATCACATTCTTGCTATTATTTTTCTTGACTTGAGCTAAGTATGGTTGCTAACAGGTTCTCAGCATGGGCCTCCTGCTCACCTTTCCTACAACTCCGAACAAACGCTTAGTGGTAAGATTGTCCTCTGTGCCTGTGTACATTCATGAACTAGCTCCTGGTTACATGGTGGATATAACTGGTTAAAAGAGCTGACTAAGTAACATGTGACTAGCTGTGAACTTCCCTGAGTGAGAGGAGAGGGCAGTTTAGGGAACTAGAGTCCCTGGTGATTTCTTGGAAGCAGTTTATTTATAGTTTTCCCCTTACCATCCTTAGATTATGATTCCCACATGGTTCTTGTGTTGAACTTTTTGTTTTTTGTTTGAGAATGTCCAAGTAATTTACAGATGTGATGAATTTGTTGCATTTCTACTGTCAAGTGTGTCTTTTTTTTTTTTCCAGCATTTTGCAGGGGGGGGCTTCTTTTAAAATTTTTAATTAGAAACCCCATCAGATTCTCTCATAAATACTATTTTCCTCATTTTTATTCCCCATTTTTTCTTTGTTTCGTCCTGCAGCTCCTGGAATGAGGCCACCCATGGGAGGCCATATGCCAATGATGCCGGGGCCCCCAATGATGAGACCTCCTGCCCGTCCCATGATGGTGCCCACTCGTCCAGGAATGACTCGGCCGGACAGATAAGGAGAGAGGGGAGGCCTCTTCCTAGCAGTTCTGTATCGCTTGTTCTGCTTCACCAGGAGATCATGGTGCTGTGACTCTGGGTGTTTTCTAACAGCATGACAAAGAAGACTTGCTCCCCCTTCTTATCAAAGAAAGAATAGTTTTGGGGGGAAATAGGATTTCAAAAAGTGCAGTTTTCATTTGTATTGTGAAATGTGAAAATAAAATTGTCAACTCTTTTAGTTAAAAAAGGTGTTTCTTTTTTCTTCCCCTTTGTATTCTTTCTGTATTATATAGAGATGAAACCTTCCAGTTGTGTTTCTCCAACTCATTCCATTTTCAGCTTGTCTCTGTGTGAGATTCTTTGCTCTTAGATTGAATCCCTTTGGACACCTACCTTTATTTAGTAAGGTTCTCCTGTGTAGGACTTAGGTAAATCTAACAGTCGTAGAGCTTTTGTGGGTAAAAATAATAAACAGCACAGTAATTTCTCACATGAATAATGCTGTGTAATAAGTTGAACACTTTAAGACTTTTATGTTGAAGTAAGGGAAAAATATGTTGTGTACGTGTCAGCTAAGAATGGCAAGAATTGCTTTAATATCAGCTTCTTTCTCTTCTCCTTTTTGGCTTCACATAGTCTGAAAACCTCTGAAGAAATAGTGAAATTACTCTCAATTTCCTTGGTATGAAAGTCATTAGAATGCTATTTGTTTCAGCAGCAGGCTGTGAAAGTGTGGTATTTTCAGGGAATCATCTAGAAGTAAGCCTTTGTCCCTATTCATATTTAGTGCAGTATAAAACTTAATCTTTTGACATTGTAAGTAGGATTGAAAATTGTTATACCATCTGGGAACAGAAATTTGGCAACATCTATCAGAAATACATTATCTGTATCCTAGGGCCTAGCATTTTCATGTCCAAGATTTTTTTTAAGAGCCATTTATTTGTTTACTTATCTGAAAGGCAGAGTAACAGAGAGAGGGGAAGAGACAGATTTTCTGTTTTCTATTTCTTTCCCCAAATGCCTACAACAACCAGGGCTGTATTGAAATCAGAAACTCCATTCAGATCTCTCACCTGAGTGGCAGGTGCCCAAAGGACCTGGGCCATCTGCTGCCTTCTTGGGCACATTAGCAGGAAGCCAGAAGGAAGCAGAACAGTTGAGATTCAAACCAGCACTCTGATATAAGGCATGCTGGCGTTGTAAGCAGTGACTTAATCCTCCGTGCCACAGTGCTACCTCTAGGAATTTTCCTTACAGATAGACTTGCTTGTGTGTGAAGTGTTATATATAAATTTATGCATTGCTGCAAAAATTGGAAGTAACATCTGCAAGCATGAGGCATTTAGAAAGTTGCCTAGGGGGCCGGCGCTGTGGCGTAGCAGGTAAGGCCACTGTTTGCAGTGCCGGCATCCCATGTGGGTGCTGGTTCGAGTCCTGGCTGCTCCACTTCGGATCCAGCTCTCTGCTATGCCCTGAGAAAACGGTAGAAGATGGCCCAAATCCTTGGGCCCCTGCACCTGCGTGAGAGACCTGGAAGATGCTTCTGGCTCCTGGCTTCGGATCAGACCAGTTCTGGTCATTGCGGCCATCTCGGGAGTGATCCAGCAGATGGAAGGCCTATCTTCCCCTGCCTCTCTGTAACTCTGCCTTTCAGATAAAATAAATATTAAAAAAAAAAAAAAAAAAAAGTTGCCTGGGGCTGTCACTGTGGCATAGTGGGCTAGGTTTCTGCTTCCACATGTGGTGTTGGCATCCCATGTGAGCACAAGTTTGAGTCCTGGCTGCTCCACTTCTGATCCAGCTCCCTGCTGGTGGCCTGGGGAAAGCTCCTGGCTTCTGGCTTCAGATCAATCAGCCTAGCTCTGGCTGTTGTGGCCATTTGGGGAGTGAACAGCGGAAGACCTTTCTGTTTCTCCCTCTCTCTAGCTCTGCTTCTCAAATAAATAAATAAAATCTTTTTTAAAAAAGGTTGCCTATACTGTGAATATTAGAATAAGGAAGCTTCATGTATAGATAGGAAAAGATCTGGGATACACATTGTTCTGCACCTTGGTGTGTTCACATAACAGGGCATTATTCACTGCTATTCTTTTTTTTTTTTTTTTTTTTAAGATTTATTTATTTATTTGAAAGAGTTACACAGAGAGAGAAGGAGCGGCAGAGAGAGAGAGGTTTTCCATCCGCTGGTTTACTCCCCAAATGGCTGCAACGGCCAGAGTTGTGCCAGTCTGAAGCCAGGAGCCGGGAGCTTTTGGGTCTCTCACGCAGGTGCAGGGGCCCAAGCACTTGGGCTATCTTCTGCTTTTCCAGGCCACAGCAGGAGCTGGATCGGAAGAGGAGTATTCAGAACTCTGACCAGCTATATATGGGATGCTGGTACTGGAAGTGTTGGCTTTACCCTCTGTGCCACAGCACCAGCCCCCACTGCTATTGTTTTTAAAAGAAAATACTTGTATTTGCATATATTTAAAGGTTTCTGCAAAGACATATAAGAAACTGGTAATACTGGTTGCTTATGAAGGGTAAATGAGTGACTAGGGGACAGAGATGAAGGGAGAAAGGCTTGTTATCTTTTGAATCATTTTTAGAAAAACAACGGAGGGGCTGGTGCTTAAGCCTCTGTCTGCAGTGCCAGCATCCCAGATGGGCTACGGTTCAAGTCTCAGCTGCTCCATTTCCAATCCAGTTCCCTGCTGATGGCCTGAGAAAGCAGTGAAAGATGGCCCAGGTGCTTAGGTCCCTACACCCACATGTGGGAGACCCACAAGAAGTTCCTGGCTTTGGATTGGCCCAGCTCCAGCTGTTGTGGCCATTTTGGGAGTGAACCAGTGGATGGAAGACTATCTGTCTCTCCCTCTCTATAACTGCCTCTGAAATAAATAAATAAATAAATAAATCTTTAAAAAAAAATAGAAACAAGACCTCCCCCCATATACCCATCTGAAATTACACTAGAATGTGCCGTCAGCCAGCAATTTACAACCTGCCTGATGATCAGACTCAAGGGATCTATTTCAAAATAAAGATTCTAGGGGCTGGCACTGTGGCTCAGTGGGTTGACACACTTGCCTGCAGCATCGGCATCCCATATGGGTGCCGGTTTGAGATCCGGCTGCTCCGATCTAGCTCTCTGCTATGGCCTGGGAAAGCAGTAGAAGATGGCCCAAGTCTTTGATCCCCTGTACCGTGGAAGACCTGGAAGAAGCTCCTGGCTCCTGGCTTTGGATCGGCCCAGCTCTGGCCACTGTGGCCATTTGGGGAGTGAACCAGCCAGTGCCTCTCTAACACTGCCTTTCAAATAAATAAATATATCTAAAAAAAAACAAAAACAAACAAAAAAAACCTATTTCTTTGAAAGAGTTACAGGGCAGTGGGGGGTATCTTCTACACATGGTTCACTTCCCAGATGGCCACTATGGTAGGGGTTGGGCCAGGCTGAAGCCGTGAAGCAGAAGTTTCTTTAGATCTCCCACGTGGGTGCAGGGGCCCAAGTACTTGGGCCATATTCTGCTGCTTTCCCAGGTGAATTAGCAGGGAGCTAGATCGGAAGTGGAGCAGCTGGGACTTGAACTGGTGCCCATAGGGGATGCTGGCATTGCAGGGGTGGCTTTACCTGCTACACCACAATGCTGACCCCCATACATACAGTTATAAGAATATAGTAATATTCCTTACCTCCCTCCCTTCCTTTCCTTCTTTCCTTTCTTTGACAATTGGTTTTAATTCTAAAATATGAATGAACTGTAATGTGAGAATTTGTATAGTTCTATATATGAATATCGAGAATTAAAGAAGTTAAGTGTCAATATAGCATACAATACTTGCTTCCTTCCTTTTCTGTTGGCAGATCTGAAGCCATTATGAGAACACTTAAAAGTCTAGGCTTTCATCGTTTACACTGCTATGTTTTTTTAATAGTTTGTCAGAATGTTATCCTGCTTGATAGTAAGCTGTATAAGAAATAGGATCCTTGTATGGAACCATAGGCTAATTTGGCCATCCCACATGGAAAAAGTCCACTGATAAGTGTTTGTCTCAATTACGTAGCTCAGTCAGATAAGTATCTTTTGGCTCCTAAGTACATTTGGGAACAGAAGAAAAATGCCTGGCCTACCTTCTGTTTCTCCATCCGACAGAAGTGTCCTTGGAGAAAAGTTGAATGGAGCCTGGCATTGTAGCACAGCAGGTTAAACCACTATTTTTGATGTTGTCATTCTTTATCTAGTGCTGATTTGAGTCCTCACGACTCTAATTCCAATCCAGTGTCCTGGTATTTTGCCTGGGAAGGCAGCAGAGGATGGTCCAAGTAGTTGGACTCCTGCTACCTATATGGGAAACCCACATGGAGTTGCTGGCTCCTGGCTTCCACCTGGCCCAGTCCCAGCTGATAAAAACCATTTGGGGGGTGAACCAGCAGATGGAAGATCTCTGTCTTCTCTCTCTCTGTTGATCTGGCTTTCAAATAAATCTTCAAAAATGAAAGAAATACTGGCTGGTGTTGTGGCTTAGTGGGTAAAGCCGCTGCTTGCAGTGTCAGAATTCCATATGGGTGCCAGCTCGAGTCCCGGTTGCTCCAGTTCCGATCCAGCTCTCTGCTGTGGCCTGAGAAAGCAGTAGAAGATGGTCCAAGTCCTTGGGCCCCTGCACTCGTGTGGGAGACCTGGAAGAAGCTCCTAGCTTCAGATCAGCGTAGCTCTGGCTGTTGTGGCCAACTGGGGAGTAAACCAGCGGATGGAAGACTTCTCTCTCTCTGCCTCTCCTCTCTCTGTGTAACTCTTTCAAATAAAAAAATAAATCTTTTTTTTTTTTTTTTTTTTTTGGACAGGCAGAGTTAGAGACAGAAAAGTCTTCCTTCCGTTGGTTCACCTCCCAAATGGCTACCATGGCTGGCGCGCTGCGCCGATCTGAAGCCAAGAGCCAAGTGCTTCCTCCTGGTCTCCCATGCTGGTGCAGGGCCCAAGCACTTGGGCCATCCTCCACTGCCTTCCCGGGCCATAACAGAGAGCTGGCCTGGAAGAGGGGCAACCAGGACAGAATCCGGTGCCCCAACCGGGACTAGAACCCGGTGTGCCGGCGCCGCAGTTGGAGGATTAGCCTAATGAGCTGTGGCGCCGGCCAAAAAAAAAAATCTTAAAAAAAATGTTAAGGAGGTAGGCATTTGGCACAGGGGTTGAATCTCCACTTGGGATTCCTGTATTACATATTAAGATCTAATTCCTTTTGCAATGCCTCTGCTTCTGATTCAGCTTCCTGCTAATGCTCACCCTGGGAGGCAGCAGATGATGGCTCAAGTGCTTGGGTCCCTGCCACCCATGTGGAAGACCCAGGTGAAGTTCCAAGCTGCTGGCTTTGGCCAGCCCAGCTCTGGCTGTTGTGGGTATTTGGAGGAATGAACAAGTAGATGGAACACCTCTCTGTGTCTCTCTCTACTTTTCAAATGGGAAAAAGAGAAATTCTAAATGTTTTATATGCCCTGATTGGAACTGCACAATGTATACATGTGTTGAAACAGCACATAGTACCCCATAAATATGTACAATTTTTATATGTCTATTAAAAAATTTTTAAGGAAAATTCTCTTGACTACTTGCCTGCACATTATTTTTTATGAAAACCCTAAGTACTCTTAAAAATGTTTATTATTTTTTATTTACTCATATGGCAGAATGACAGAATGATTTATGCTCCATTGGCTGGTTCACTCCCCATATGCTCACAAAAGCCAGGGCTGGTCCAGGCCCAATCCAGCTCTCTGCTATAGCCTGGGCCCAAATGCTTGGGTCCCTGCACCCGTGTGGGAGACCCAGAAAAAGCTCCTGGCTCTTGGCTTCGGATTGGCCCAATTCCAGCCGTTGCAGCCATTTGGGCCATTTGCTGCCTCTGCCTTATCAAATAAATAAATCTGTAAAAAAAATTTATTTATTTACTTGAAAGGTAGAGTTACAGAGAAGCCTTCCACCTGGTGGCTCGCTCCCCAAATGGCCATAACAGCCAGAGCTGGGTAGATCTGATATCAGGAGTCCGGAGCTTCTTCCAGGTCTCTGATGTGGCTGCAGGGGCCCAAGGACTTGGGCCATCCTCTGCTACCTTCCCAGGCACATTAGCAGGGAGCTGGATTGGAACTGGAGCAGCTGGGAGTCAAACCGTCACCAATATGGGATGCTGGTACTGCAGACAGCAGCTTTACCCACCACGCCACAGTGTTGGCTTCTTTAGTATTACATCTTACAAGGGATTAGATATATAAAAGTATTATGCCTCATTAAACAGCATTACAAATAACCCAATTAAAAAACTGGAGCCAGTGTTTTGGCATAGTAGGTAGAGCCACCGCCTGTGTCACCAGGATCCTGTAGGGCACCGGTTTGTGTCTCGGCTGCTCTACTTTTTTTTTTTTTTTTTTTAATTTGAAAGGCAGACTTACACAGAGATAGAGAGGTCTTCCATCCACTGATTCACTCCCTAAATGTCTACAATGGCCAGGGCTGGGCCTGGCTGAGCCAGGAGCTTCTTCCAGGTCTCCTACGTGGGTACAGGGGCCCAAGCATTTGGGGCCATCCTCTGCTGCTTTCCCAGGCACAATGGCTTTGGTCTGGCAAGTGAACCAGCTAATAGAAGATCTCTCTCATCCTTTATCAGAGTGCCTGGGATTAAGTCCTACTTCTGCTTCTGATCTCGCCTCCTGATAATGTATACTCTGGGAGGCAGCAAATGACAGTTCAAGTACTTTGGTCCCTGCCACCCATGTGGGAAACCTGGATGGAGTTCTGGGCTCCTAGCTTTGATTTGGCCCAGTCCTAGCTGTTGCAGGAACTTGGGGAGTGAACCAGAAGATGGAAGATCTCTCTCTCTCTGACACTTTGCCTTTCAAATATATAAAAAATAAAGACACTTAAAAAATGGACAAGAGGGTATTTAGTCTAGCAATTAAGATGTTAGGGGCTGGCGCCGGGGCTCAATAGGCTAATCCTCCGCCTGCGGCGCCGGCACACCGGGTTCTAGTCCCGGTCTGGGCGCCAGATTCTGTCCCAGTTGCCCCTCTTCCAGGTCAGCTCTCTGCTATGGCCCGGGAAGGCAGTGGAGGGATGGCCCAAGTGCTTGGGCCCTGCACCCACATGGGAGACCAGGAGAGGCACCTGGTTCCTGGCTTCGGATCAGTGCTTTGCGCCGGCTGTGGCAGCCATTGGAGGGTGAGCCACCGGCAAAAGGAAGACCTTTCTCTGTCTTTCTCTCATTGTCCACTCTGCCTGTCAAAAAATTTAAAAAAAGATGTTAGGACATCTTAATTGTGTCCCATATTGGAGTACCTATGTTTGATACCCAGCTCCTGATTTCAGCTTCCTGTTAATGCAGACCATGGGAGGGAAGGTAACTGTGTTCCTACTACCCACATGTGAGACCTGGCTTTTCTGGCTTCCAGGCCATTGCAGAGATTTAGAGAGTGAACCAGTGTTGGGAATTGGTTCGTCACCCTAGAGAAGCTGTGGAGTTCTTGTCTTCACACAAGAAATAATTCAGGTGTGAGACAGAGAGCAAAGTAATAAGGTTTTACTGGGAATAGGGCATCTGTCAGAATGGAGGGGACAGAGAGGGAGAATGTGCCCAGTCACTTGGACTGGGGGAGAGCAAGGTTACATGTTTGAATGGAAAATATATCTGGGCAGGCCAGGTGGGCGACTCAGCAGAGAGCAGAGAGCTCAGCACAGTCTTTGTTTAGACTCCCAGTTTGTAAGGGAGTCTCTCTGCCCCCTCCCCCTTCTCCTTTAGGATAAAGGGTTTTGTGGAGGGTAAATTAGCAAATTCCTCCCCAGGTTTGCTGAAGCTGGACAGAGGGGCATCTGTGAAGGTTTTATTGCCCAATGTTATCAGTCAGGTGACCCATTTGGGCCTGAAGAGAGTTTTGGGAGCTTTCCTTGGAGGAGGGCTGGGCCCACTGGAAGCTTATCAGGGCTGAGCAGGACTTCAAAGGGCAAAATGCTGGGCTTCTGGGGCTTCTGCAGCAGATGCTGGTTTCTTCAGACCCTTCTCACAAACATAGGCTACTTTTTAACTTCCTACCTAACCTTCCTTCCACCCTTTCTCTCTGCCTCTCAAATATTTAAAAAGAGAGAGGGTGGGCAGTTAAGATGCCACTTAGAACACTCAGATTCAGGCCAGAGTGCCTGGGGTTGTGTCCTGGCACAGTTCTGATCCAGCTTCCTGCTAATACACACCCTGGGGAAGCATGTGCTGATTTGAGTACTTGGGTCCCTGCCACCCAGGGGGAAGACCAGGATGGAGTCCCTGGCTCCTGATTTCAGCCTAGCCCAGCCTACGCAGCTGTGGCCCTTTAGGAAGTGAACCGACAGATGGAAGATCTCACTGTCTCCTCCCTGTCACTATGCCTTTCAAATAAATAAAAAAATAATGGGTGAAATGTGAATAGACTTTTTCCCAAAGTTTTACAAATGGCCAATAATACATGAAGTGGTGCTCAGTGCCATTAGCCACCAAGGAAATGCAAACAAATCCTTAACCAAACAATAGTAAATAGCTTTGCTTCAGGGATGCCAGTTGATTATTTGGAAAATTAATGTGATCCACCATGTTAACAGGCTAAAGAAAAAAAATCACATCATAGCATTTAACACTGATTTTTTTTTTTAATTTTTATTTTTTATTTTTTGACAGGCAGAGTGGACAGTGAGAGAGAGAGACAGAGAGAAAGGTCTTCCTTTGCTGTTGGTTCACCCTCCAATGGCCGCCGTGGCCGGCGCACCGCGCTGATCCGATGGCAGGAGCCAGGAGCCAGGTGCTTTTCCTGGTCTCCCATGGGGTGCAGGGCCCAAGCACCTGGGCCATCCTCCACTGCACTCCCTGGCCACAGCAGAGAGCTGGCCTGGAAGAGGGGCAACCGGGACAGAATCCGGCGCCCCAACCGGGACTAGAACCTGGTGTGCCGGCGCCGCTAGGCGGAGGATTAGCCTAGTGAGCCGTGGCGCCGGCCCTTAACACTGATTTAAAAAAAAAAAAAAACTCAGAAAAATCGAGAAAGACTATCCACAAAAAAGCTATAGCTGATATACTTCCTGGTCAAAGACTGAACCAATGCTTCCCTCCTAAGGTTGGGAACAACGCAAGGATGTCTGTCCACTGTCAAAGCTCTTATTCAATAAAACGCTGGAAGTTCTGTCATCGGAGGAAAGGCCGTGGAAGCCGTGGTGGTCTTGTCTTCACCAAAAAAGAATTCAGGCGTGAGACAGAGAGTGAAGTAATAAGGCTTTATTGGGGATAGGGCATCCATCAGAACTGAAGGGACAGAGAGCGACTGGGGGAGAGCGAGGTTACATGGTTGAATGGAGAGAATACACATGGGCAGGCCAGGCAGTAGGTGCTGGTCTTCAGGCCTGTCTCCACACACACATAGGCTAAATTTCTGACTTCCTACCTAACAGTTCCAGCTAGCACAATATATTACTCTGGTAAAGGAAATAAAGGGACCGGCATTGTGGCCCAGGGGCCTAAGCCGCCACTTTGCAACACTGGCATCCCATATCAGAGTGCAGTGTGCCTTGTTAAAGAAAGAAGACTGCATAGGCCTGAAGCTCCAAGATGTTAACAAATGAATTTCTTTCCTGGTTGCTGCAGTACTAGTTTTGGGGACTCTCTTTCACTCACACAGATTTACAACAAAACAAGTATCTGAATACCTATTAAGCTCCAACTCTGCCATAAGGGCAGGGATATCTGGTGAGCAAAACAGATAGACATGTCCTTAACCCCTATGAAACTTAGAGTTAAAGCACTCCAGGGACTGGTGCTGTGGTGTAGCATGTAGAGCACTGCCTGCAATGCTGGCATCCCAAATGGGCGCCGGTTCAAGTTCCAGCTGCTCCACTTCGGATTCAGCTACCTGCTAATGTGCCTGGGAAAGCAGTGAGAACATGGCCCAAATCCTTGGGCCCCTGTACCCAACATGGGAGACCCAGAAGAAGCTCCTGGCTCCTGGCTTTAGTCTGGCCCAGCCCCGGTCACTGCGGCCATTTGGGGAGTGAATCAGTGGGTGGAAGTGTCACTGGAGGAAACTCTGTGAGGTTCTTGTCTTCATGCAAGAAAGAATTCAGGCATGAGACAGCAAAGTGATAAGGTTTTATAGGGGATAGGGAAGGGATGGGGAGAGAGTGGGGAAAGTGAGGGTACATGGTTGAGTGGAGAGAATACACCTGGGCAGGCCAGGTGGGTGGCTCAGCAAAGAGCAGAGAGCAGAAGGCTGAGCTCCTGGTTTGTTTGGACTTCCCTTGGTTTTTAAAGGTGGAGAGTCCTATCGGGAAGGGTTTGTTGGATGAAAATTGGCAAGTTCCTCCCCTACATTTCCGACTTCCTACCTAACAGAAGACCTCCCTCTCCATCTCTTGCTCTGTAACCCTGCCTTTTAAATAAATGTCTTTATAAAAAGAAAAAAAAACCACTCCTATAAATATACAAGAAGACCCTAGCTAATACTTCCCACTACAAAAGGAAAGATATTTGCATATATGAAACCCAGACTTCCATTTTACAGCTGAAAAAAATTAGATACGTTGAGGCCAGTGTTGTGGCGCACTGCGTGCAGCACTGGCATCCCATGTGAGAGTGGCAGCTCCAGTCCTGGCTGCTTCCCATACAGCTCCGGGCTAATGTGCCTGGGAAAGTAGCAGCAGATGGCACAGCACTTAGGCTCCCGCCACCCACGTAGGGGACTCCCTCCCTGAGGCTCTGCCTTTACAGAGAGGCAGAGAGAGAGAGAGAGAGAGAATGAGAATCTTCCATCTGCCGGTTCACTCTCCAAATGTCCACACCTGGGGTGGGCCACGTGAAGTCAGGATCCGGGAACTCTGCTCGGGGTTTCCTACGTGGGCAGTTTGGGCCCAAGTACTCTTGCCCCCCACGGCGCATTATCAAGGTGTTGGAAGGAAGCTGGGGCCAGGACTCGAACCCAGAAACGCAGGCATTCTGAAGGCGTCCCAAGCGGACGACTTACCCGCCAAAAAGCCCGCCCCTGCTCCTACGTCTGGAGTCAGCACCTGCCTGGTGGCTAAGGGGCTGGAGGCCAGCGGCCCTACAGAGAGGACAGCGAGGCGCCGGGTCTGGGTCCCTGGGACCCTCAGCACGAGGCCTCGCGCAGCGGATCGCTGAGGGTGGTCTGCACGCCTCTTCAACCGGCCGGCGAAGCGCCTGAAGTTACTTCTCGGTCCTCAGAATGACTTCTGGAATAGAATTAGTGCTCAACAAATAATGCGTTTCTGCGGGAGGGTCAATGAATAAGAAATGGACCCTGCCATCCAGGAGCTGAGCGATGATCTCACGACTTTCCGCAAAACACAACAGAACCACCGCAACCACCCCGCCTTTCCCCGCGGCGCTTCCGAGTCCCTACGGGTCGCCAGCCTCACGCGATCCTGAGGCGAAATCTGTCGGCTCGCGCCGGCGGAGAGGCAGCCGGGCGCGCGGGGGAGGCGGCCGGCGGCCGGCGCCCGCCCCCCGCGCCGCGCGCGTCCCCGCCCCTCGCCCGTCTGCGCGTCGCTCTGGGCTGGCGGCCGCGGCGGCGCGGCGCGCGCGGGTGGGTGGGATCGTGGCGGAGCGCCGGGCGCCGGGGCAGGGGCGAGAGAGCGCCATGGCGGCTGCTGTGGTGGCGGCGGCGGCCTCCGGTGCCCGTGCCGCGGCGACGTGAGGAGGGCCGCCTCTGTTCCGGGACCTAGGAGGCCACAGCTGCCCTGTGCCTTCCACGCGGGCCGCGGCCTCGGCATGGCCGGGATCATTAAGAAGCAGATCCTGAAGCACCTGTCCCGGTGAGAGCGCCAGCGCCGGCCCCAGCCGTCCCGAGGGGTCCTTCCCTTGCCCCTCTGACCTCCTCCCGGTCTCCAGCCCCAAGCCGCGGCTCCGTGGCGGCTCCCGCCCCAACTCGAGCCGTGGCCGCGGGCGCCGACCGTTGTCACCCCTCATTCATCCGTCGCTCGGTGCCCCTTGTTTCCCCTCCCCACCCTAACAGCCCCCCCCCGGGACCCCTCCCGTCCCCGAAGGGCTCTCCTGGCCTGCAGCCCCATCCTCGCTTCCCACACCTCCGCGCTGGCCGCCCGGCCCTGCCCGGGCCGTCGCTCCCAGGCCCCCACGGAGCCCACCGTCCCCTGCCCGCCCCCGCTGGGTTCCCCCTGCCACCTCTGCCTGGCCCCGCCGCCGCCCCTCCCTCGGGGCCCCAGCCTGCCTCCCGACCCGCCCCACCAGCCGTCCTCTCTCTCCGGACCCTTGATCTCCCCACCCCTGCCCGTTCTGAATGACCCTGCCCCCCAGTCCTGCGTAGCCGCTTCCCCCTCGTCTTTCCATCGCCAGCACTAGTTTTCTGCTTCTCTGAAGCGCTCGGCTCTTCCTGCTCTTGTGTTTGACCCTGTTGCATCACCCTTGAAAAAAGATGTGAGCCCTGCACCCGGGGCTCTTCCTCCCAACTCCTTTCTTCCTCCTCTGCTTCTCTTGTTAGACCAATTGGAGAAAGGTCAGGAGAGTTTGGGATAAAGTTTTGGCAGCCTCCCCTTTAAGAAGATGTGGAGGTTTTTTTGACAGCCTGTGAGAAGTGCCAAAAAGGTCCACTTCTGCTTTGCAGCCTCTTAGTAAGCAGTGTTGTGCCATTCAGTAGTTCGGGCCTGCGTGAGGGAGTTGGCGGGCAAAACAGTTGTCAGCTCAAGCTGGGTGAGTCTGGCCCCTGGGTTAAGGTTGCAGATGGCTGCAAAAATTTGGGCTAGGATTTTGTTTTTTGTTGTTGTTGTTTTGTTTCGCCTGTTTTCACTCTTTATTCCAGGCTAGAATTGGTGGTTAATACCTTCACCAGCCTTTGTGTCTCCAGTGGAGAGTGGTCCAGGGGTTGGCTCCCCAGTGGTTGGTGGTTTTCAGGAGGTGGGATGGGGAATTCCAGTCAACATGGGACACCCAGGCCCTGTGCTGATGTAGCTTTCCGGGTCTTCTCGTGGCTGGGGCGAGTGGTGTGTGAGACACTGTGCCGCTGCTGCATCCCCTTTTCCTGGTCGACACTCTGGCTTATTTGCTATTACTTTGATCTTGGGCTTCAGTTAGTTATTAGATTCAGATACATCTTTTGGCTAATCCCTACTTTATAAAAGAAAAAGCACATTGGAAGCTAAAACTGGAAAATGCCTTTGGACCCTTTACTACAGTTACTTACATTCTTTCTTTAGGTAGTGTTATCTGAGTGTTCCCATGAGTCTGGTTGTTCACTAAAGATTCCAAGGTGGGACTAAAGATCGCTGAATGGTACAGAGAATATTGACTCGAGGAAAACCTTTTTGTTTGCATGGACATAGCATTTTTTGGGCTTAAAGATGATCTCACTGTGTTTAAAAGCCTGGGCTGTTTCTCATTTACTTTCTTCATCTCTAAAATGGGGATAATAGTGTCTAGTTCAAAAGGTTATTGTGAGGATTACAAGATTATATGAGTTTTTTTTAAGGATTTATTAATTATTTTTTGAAAGGCAAAGTAACAGGGAGAGACAGAAAGAGAGAGAACACCCATCTGCTGATTGACTCCCAGATGGCTCAGTAGCCAGGTCTGGACCAGGCCAAAGTCAGGAACCAGGAACTCCATGCTAGTCTGACATGGATGGCAGGGGACCAGGCACCCTGACCATCTTGTGTTGCTTTCCGAGGTGCATCAGCAGGGAGCTGGATTGGAAGTGGAGCAGCCAGAACTCAAACTGGTACTCCATATGGGATGTAGGTGTCAACAAGTAGTGGTTGCTTAACTTACTGTGTCACAGCACCAGCCTTGTATGTGAGTTAATTATGTAAGGAGTTGGCACATGCCTAGCATATGTCAGCGCTCAGTAAAACATGAGCTATGGTTATTTTTGGGACATATTCTTTGTGATAATTGGATACAGCTATAGGCCTCTTCAGAGAAATCCATGTATGCAAAGAGGTAATTTTTAATGTAAGTTTTGTGTGTCAGAGTGGAATTAAGAATCCCTAAAGCACATACCTCTCAAGGTATCCTGAAACTAGGTAGATAACTTGATTTGCTTCAGTGCCTCAGTCTGTGGTGAGGAATGTACAGCCTAGAGGGACAAATGACTTGCCCAAGTTGCATAGGAAGGTAGGACAGTGGAACAGAACCAGCTTCCTAACTCTGGTACTTTCCCCTGTAGTATAGACATATTCTGTGTACCCTCTATGAACACAGGTTGTTTTAAAAGAAAAATTGGTATAGTGTATGCTGACACGTTCAGTGAGTTCTTGGTGGATAAAGGTTTTTTTTTTAGAGGCAGAGTTAGTGAGAGAGAGAGAGAGAGAGAGAGAGAGAAAGGTATTCCTTTTCCATTGGTCACCCTCCAAATGGCCGCTACGGCTGGCGCGCTGTGCTGATCTGAAGCCAGGAGACAGGGTGCAGGGCCCAAGGACTTGAGCCATCCTCCACTGCACTCCCAGGCCACAGCAGAGAGCTGGAGTGGAAGAGGAGCAACCGGGACAGAATCCGGTGCCCCGACCAGGACTAGAAACGGGGTGCCGGCGCCGCAGGCAGAGGATTAGCCAAGTGAGCCATGGCGCCGGCCTCTTTTTAGATTTTCTTTTTTTTTTTTTTGACAGGCAGAGTGGACAGTGAGAGAGAGAGACAGAGAGAAAGGTCTTCCTTTGCCGTTGGTTCACCCTCCAATGGCCGCCGCGGCCAGTGCGCTGCGGCCGGCGCACCGCGCTGATCCGATGGCAGGAGCCAGGAGCCAGGTGCTTTTCCTGGTCTCCCATGGGGTGCAGGGCCCAAGCACCTGGGCCATCCTCCACTGCACTCCCGGACCACAGCAGAGAGCTGGCCTGGAAGAGGGGCAACCGGGACAGAATCCGGCGCCCCGACCGGGACTAGAACCTGGTGTGCCGGCGCCGCTAGGCGGAGGATTAGCCTAGTGAGCCACGGCGCCGGCCTCTTTTTAGATTTTTAAAGATTTATTTTATTTATTTGAAAGAGTTACAGAGAGAGGTAGAGACAGAGAGAGAGGTCTTCCATCTGCTGGTTTACTCCCCAGATGGCCGCAACGGCTGGAGCTGAACTGATCCGAAGCCAGGAGCCAGGAGCCTCTTCCAGGTCTCCCACATGGGTGCAGGGACCCAAGGACTTGTGCCATCTTCTACTGCTTTCCCAGGCCATAGCAGAGAGCTGGATCGGAAGAGGAGCAGCCGGCACTAGAACCAGCGCCCATATGGGATGCCAGCGCTTCAGGCCAGGGCTTTAACCCGCTGCGCCACAGTGCCGGCCCCTAAAGTATCTTTTTAAAAATGAAGTAAAGATAAGTATGCTAGACACTGGGGGGAAGTGTGTTTTTTTCAGCCTTGGGCAGGTGCCTGAGAAGGAAGAGGTTATCGTTGTGATTTCGGGTCTCCAGGAAGAGGTATTAGGACTCCGCAGTCTGACTGGGGGAAAGGCCAGACTTCTGCAGATTTTGTGTTGTTTAACTTGGAAAAGCTGCCTGATTATGTGTGTCGTTCATGTCTCTGTGTAGGCCTCGTCACACACAGAGGTTAGCCTGTTTGGGGAGGAACTATGGCCCTGTGGCTTGTCAGATCTGATTGGGAAAGCGAGAAGGGAAGGTATATGGAGTTACTGTGTTAAATATTATAGGTGTTTGATAATTGCTTGTTGCTGATGATAACAATGCCATTTGACCTGGAGGAGAATGTCCTAGAAGAGACAGGATAGCCCAGTGACTCTTGTGTCTAATTTTAGGCACAAAATTTCAGATAATAAAGTGTATTATTGGAATGCAGCTTCCTTATTAGTATTATGCACTTAATAGTAGTGTAAAAACTGGGGCCTCAGGTTTTTATTTTTGCTTATTTTCACTCCTTACTCCGGGCACTAATCTGGGCACTGGGGATGCAGCAGGAAGAAACACAAATGTCTTCTTAAGGCTTTCACCCTTGGCTTAGATGACTGCTGCTCAATACAAATCGCTTTATTGCACAGTATTCAGTTTAAATAAATCCAGGAAGAGACCTTTACTTAGAAACACAAAGTAATCATTGATTTTAGAATTATCAAAATTGGTTTTTCACTTGATTAGATTATTCTTGTTTGAGATCACTTTAGCTCATGACCTTTTATTATACAAGCAAGAGGAAATGTGATTGATTATGGAATATGTCAAGAGACCATGGCTCACAGGAAGAGCATGGGCTCTGCGCTCTACAAGCCAGAGTCGCCTTCCCGCTCAGCCACTGATGAGCAGGGCAGCCTTAATCTCTTTATCTCTTAACGATAAGAATAAGGAAGACTCATACCACCTAATCTATGTTTTGGAGAACTGGGGATAAAATATTTATTTGTAATTTTTGACATGTAAAGAAGTATTTAATAAGGAGTAGCTACATAGCCATAGCTTGTAGTAGAGATATCACCACATCACATACCACAGAAAGCCAAATGCCTCTTTTAGTTTTTCATTTAAAAAATTATTTTTTTAATTTATTTTTTTTGACAGGCGGAGTTGGAGAGAGACAGAGAGAAAGGTCTTCCTTCTGTTGGTTCACCCCCAAATGGCTGCTACAGCCGGCGCGCTGTGCCGATCCAAAGCCAGGAGCCAGGTGCTTCCTCCTGGTCTCCCATGGGGTGCAGGGCCCAAGGACTTGGGCCATCCTCCACTGCCTTCCCGGGCCACAGCAGAGAGCTGGACTGGAAGAGGAGCAACCGGGACAGAATCCGGTGCCCCAATCGGGACTGGAACCCTGGGTGCCGGCACCACAGGTGGAGGATTAGGCTAGTGAGCCGCGGCACCGGCCTGATTTAAAACTTTTTT